GTTGGGGACCGCTGTTTTAGAGTGCTAATACATAAATGATATTTTTAGCTAATAAATTACACATATATAATAGTCAAGTATGTCGAGGGCCATAATGAACCACTAAAATGGAAACCACACTCAATAGTTCATTGCACCTAAATTTTGTTGTGCAAGTAGTTGTAATGCCCATTCTTTCCCTGTGTCCAGTTTATTGTTCTGTGCTGGTGTATGAAGAATTTACAAGATCACTGACATTTGGCTTTTTTTTTTTTAAAGCTTGTTAAGCTACCCTTTGTAAATCTCTGAAATTTACTTGTCAGCCTAGGTAAACTGGAGGAGGAGTTTGAGAAGAAGTTTAACAGCCTGCCACAGTATAGCCCGATGACCTTTGATAAAAAGGGCACTGCTGTTGCAAAAAAAAAGAAGTCAGACAGCACCACCATCCAAAGAGATGAGTCTAAGACCGGAAAAGGTAGGAACAAAGTTTGAGGTCCAGTCTACACTAAAATAAATAATGTGATATACATATGAGTGACAAATTAAAGAAACACTCAAACCCTTGGCCCCTGAAGATTTGGTGGATTTTGTTTGGGGGGTTTGTGTTCCCTTTGACTGAAGATTGAATGGTTACTGGATGTGGTCTCTTGAGGATCACGATATCCCAGTGTATAGGACACAACAGTTCACAACATTTTATTGGGTGATTAGATGAGGATTATTTGAATGACATTCTATGGCCTTCACAGTCATTGGACCGTACCCTAACTGAAGATTTGGCCCAGTTGTTAGACAGCAATTTCCACTGCCGGCATCAAAACATCTAACTATAAATATATTTTTGATCAATGTTTTAGACACCTATGGACATTAAGGCACTAAATCTTGATGTTGAGGTTTTTTTTATTAATTTGTCACCCATTTCTACACCCTCACTTATCATCCATAATCCACTCTATACCTGTTTATACAGTCCTGTCCAGGTACTAAGGACCAGTTCTCATTATGTATAAAAAAATAGAAATAAACCAAAGAAACCTTTGGACTCCATAACATTGAATTTCCATGATCTTCCTTTCTTTACCTATCTCTTTTTTTGTTGTTTTTGTTGTTTGTTTGTTTGTTTTTTTGTTTTGTTTTTTTGCTATATCAGGGCCATCTCAGAAAAAGACTACATTCCACAAGATTGTTAGGACGAGATTGCACAAACACAAAAAGGAGAAACCAGGTGCAGTGGAAAAAGGTGAAATAGATTATTGATTTTTGCGCTTTATATAGCAGGTCCATGAACCATTTTCAAATTAAAACTGAAACACAGGGGATGAAAATGTTCAAAAGTTACCTGTTTTTGTGATTTTTAAGTTATTAAACAAAACTGTAACTAAAGGACACAGGGGATATCTATGAAATACTCTGCAGAGAATTATTTGTAAACAGTATGCTTTTGTTTGGTCACAATGAATGATAAAATTGTAATCGTTAAGTCATTGTTAAGAGGACTCAAATGTCTGTGCCGGTGATTTTCAGTTTTTTTTTAATGTCTGTGCGATGGTCAAATGACTGAAACCCTTGTGGTGATTGTGCTCCACAGCAGTGGGACAGACTGATTCCACACTGGATATAGGTTCGGAAGTCAAATTATGTGCTCCCGTTCCCATAATGTGCCCAGATGTCCAGGGCACTGCTAGCATGGAGATACTAGTTGGTAGCCAGAAACGAAAGGCAAGGAAGACTAAGATCACACACTTGGTGCGCACGGCACATGGCAGTGTGTCTCCAAGTGAGGGTGAGTAATGTCAATATCCATTTTCTTTTTGCAGTTTAGCTCAATGTATCAATATACATGAAAAAAAAAATGTCATTTTGAAAGTGGCAGGTCCAACTTGATAGTCCAGAATTTGTCTTATGCTGATATTATATTTTAATTTATTTAATTAGTAAGATACTCAGTCCACCCAGACTGATATATTAAGGAAACTGGAACTAAAAGCTTATTAGCTTGTAGCAGCCTGTACCTACATTGTCTGATCATTCTCGTATACAGTATCTTGGCATTAAACTGTAAATTGAAAATGGCAGCAATGTATTTCTCAAAGTCTCCGCAACTCTGAAAGTGTCCGTGTGGACAACTGACACACATCACGCTATCGTGTGTCCCAATCAGAGATAGTCAGGACCTCTAAAATTGGCCGTGGTCCTGTAGTTGTCCCGTAGTCCTTTGTGTGTACATTTGAAAGTGCAGGTGGAAGAGGGAGGTGAGTAGCTTGAATAAAGCGATATCAATTCATTAAATCCTGAATCAACTTTTAAATATAAATGTATTTCGCCAGAAACGCCAGAATCTCAGATTAAAGCTCTCAAAACTATTTCAACAACCACCAAACAGCAAATGAGAGCAGGTAAACGGATTCTGCACAAAGACGTAAACACAGAGCGCCGACCTGACGCATCAGAATCAGCTTTCTCTTTCTTGGCTTTCTCACCCGACGGCCCGTACACGGACACGTCTCTCTCCAACCAAAATTCACTGAACCAGCAGCAAAAGAAGATCTAAACTACGCTTCACATTTGATAAATATTGTCGTGCTTCCACCACGATAAAAATCACACTTCATGCACAGCTCTCTCTCTCTTTGTGTACTTCAAGAACAGTTTTCCCATGTCAAATCTTTGTTTTTCGGCGTTATTTATTTGCTTATTACCCACCAGTCTACTGTTGTTTACAGCACTAATGGCTAGGGATGGGTATCGTTTAGGTTTTATCCGATACCGGTGCCAAACCGGTACTTTTGAAACGGTGCCGGTGCTTAAATGGTGCTCAAATCGGTGCTTAAAGAATGGAAAACACAAAATTGGTCCAAAAACCTCTCATGTTTAGCTGTTTTTTTGTAAAAAAAAAAGATAACAATGTTAGCCTTTTCTGCAGCTCTAGGGGATTTATGGCATCACTCTTGGCTGGAAGCAGTGCTTAAACAATCGAAAAAACACAAACTTTGTCCAAAAACCTCTGTTTCACTGTTTTCCACTTTTTCTTTGGTCATTTTAGCCTTTTTGACCAGGGTGAAGGGAGTATCTGCCATCAAACAAGAAGACAGCCGCATGTAACTACGATGGTGTTTGCTAGTTCACCTTACATGCATTAATGTAATAACGTGGTTAGCCTACTCAAC